GAGTGATCCCACAGTGATCCACACAGACAAGATTTGTGTCCATGGCACTCTAACCAAATGGTGTTGACAGGGATTAATCAAATGATAACGGGGACAGATGCAGTGTTGAGAATAGGGGTAGATTCTGCACAGGTAGCCAAGGGCCAGGCCCACGTGACAGCTGGAAGGCCACATGAATCATTCTATTCTGAGAGCAGAGAAAATCTGTTTAATGACTCAAACACAACCTGAAGTAAGGGAGGAATTATCCTTAACTGTCTGGGTGGGGGCTGAGACAGTTACAGGAGTCCTTCCAAGTGGAAGAGGGCAGGAGAATTAGAGACCCCGAGAGGAGGACTCAGCCCACCAGACTCTGAAGACAGTGGAAGGGCGCCTGCAGCCCAGGCATGCCAGAAGCCTCTAGAACAGTCAAGAAAACACATTCTCCCCTGGAGTCTCCAGAAATGAACACGGCTCTGCCAATGCCTTGATTTTAGCCCAGTGAGACCCATTTCAGACCTTCCAAAGAGATTAAATTTGTGTTGCTTTAGGCGACATTTATGGTCCCTATCTCAGCCTCCCTAGAAAACTAGTACACCACGTGATTTAAGACGCTTGCAAACCCACTGCTTTGGCCGTATCAGTGTCCTTATTTTCAGATAAAGAGATCAGGTGCAGTGAGGTTCCAGCACTTACTTGCTGAGGCCCACGTCCCTTGAAGATTGTGCGTGAGGCCAACTTTCTGCCTTCTGCACTCAGAATGAAAGGGGCAATTTAGGGGCAGAAACCCGGAGTGTAGCTTTAGAAATGTTGAGTTTAGAAAGACTCTGCCTGTGACAGGAAGGAGGGAACATCAGTTCCACAAGGGAATGGCTCACATAGAAGTAGAAATTAGGGTTCTGTCTGCAGGAAAATGATGATCAAGCCACAGGAAGGAAAGAAAGTGTTCACGGTGGTGACACTTAGATGCTAAGAGGGAGTGAACTCAACCAGGGCAGCATTTAGAGCTGAGGTGTGACGGAGTGTCCTGTGAGTCATTCTTGGAGACTCTTGTTAAGAAAATGCACATAGGCTCGGCGCCTGTAGCTCAGCAGCTAGGGCGGCAGCCACATACAGCAGAGCTGGCAGATTCAAATGCAGCCCGGGCCTGCCAAACAACAATAACAACTACAACAACAACCAAAACATAGCCAGGCGTTGTGGCAGGCACCTGTAATCCCAGCTACTTGGGAGGCTGAGGCAAGAGAATCACTTAAGTCCAAGAGTTTGAGGTTGCTGTGAGCTGTGATGCCATGGCACTCTACCCAGGGCGACATAGTGAGACTCTGTCTCAAAATAAAAAAAAAAAAGCATATCATTTTATCATAAAACATGTAAAGGACCCTCAGGTTATAAAGGACCTTCTGGGGTAGCCAAGCCTTGTCCTATGCTTGTAATAGGGCAATCCAAAGTCCCCTCACTGCTCTGGACCAAAGAATCTCACTCATGCGGCGTTCCCATCTTAGGATTTGACACTTGCTCTATATCACTGTGGGTGGACCTGAGCTGTCCAACATTGTAGCCACTAGCCACCTACAGCTGTGTGCACTTAAATTGATTAAAATGAAATATTAGCAGAATTGAGAATTTGATTCCTCAGTTGCACGGGTGACATTTCAAGTGCATCATAGGTACAGGTGACCAGAGCTTACCACGTATAGAATACTTTCCTCCTGACAGCCAATTCTGTCAGCCCACACTCATCTCTGTGCTGCTAATATTCATGGCTATTTTCTGTAAGGTCAGTACTCAAACAGGAGCTCCTCAGGGAGACAGGGTAGACGCCATATTTAGAATTGCAACTCCCTAAGTTTCTGCATTTATCTGTAGATGTATTACAGATACAAAAAGACAGTTATAAATTGTAGCTCGCTCACTTTCTGTGTGTCTGCAGATGTATTCCCTTTACCCCGTGTAGATGTCATCCCCCCAGATCTCCTTGCTCTGTGTCCCCCGTTAGTGTGGGAAGTCAGGAGGGAAGAGCCTCTGGGTGGCTATTGCACGACTGCATGATGAGAGTATGGGATCACTCCCTTTGTCAACTTCATCCTTATGTATAACATATAATTCTTTAAAAAAAAAAAATTAGGGCAGCGCCTGTGGCTCAAGGAGTAGGGTGCCGGCCCCATGTACCAGGGGTGGTGGGTTCAAGTCCAGCCCCAGCTAAAACTGTAAAGAAAAAAGAAAAGAAAAGAAAAGAAAAGAAAAGAAAAGAAAAGAAAATCAAAGCCTTGATGTAGGCTGTGTGAAAATGAAAACTCCCAGTACACGAGTTCCCTTTAAACTAAACGCCCTGGGTTCTCACTTTATATTGGTTCCTTTCCCTGATTAAAGGTTCTTCTTCTCTGGTTCCAAAGTGCTCAGAGCAAGTTCCCACTAGATCAACTCAATTTCATCAAAGAGGTTTCCCCTCTGAAAACCCCCATCAAACGCTTGGCGTGGACGTTGGGGACAAGATGTTAATCGCCGGAGAGGCAGTGCATTTCACACCCCTGGACTCACTGGCTGATTAATAAGCCTGAGCCCGGTGGAGTGGCTTTCCCACACTCAATGAGTCGCTTGTCCTCAGTCTTTTTTTTTTCTTCCCTCCCACATTACTTTGCAAAGTAAAGAAATGCCCAGAAAATGTGCAGCTCCACCTGCGAATGAAACGTTTCAGAGGTCAGTGTTCTTGCCTGCCTCTGAGGGCGGCAAGTCATGTTTCCGTAGGGCTCAGATGGCAGATGTGGACAGGGGGAGGGAAGACGAGCGTCCTGATCCTTCTAACAAAGGAGATTGCTATGGCAGCACTGCAGGAAATAAATATGGATTGATGATTTAGGGCAGGACCTAAGACAGCCACGCTGGGTACCACACCTCCTCACCGGGTTTGCTCGCCCTGAAAACCGTGGACAGGTTAATCTCAAGGCAGCTTCAGAAGCATTTCGCTAAAACTTTACTAATGTTATTTTCTTCTCGTCAGTACTTGAATTTGCACACAGGTTTTGCTCTGGCAGTGTGTTACTTTTCCCCTTTGCTTCACTGTTACCCACTACATAATCAGGATTGCACCAGACCCGCCTTCCTCCTTTAGCTCACCTGCTCATTTGGGGGTTCCTGTAGAATTTCATTTTCTCTCCTCCTGTTCTCTCAAGTTTATTTATTTATTTATTTTGCAGTTTTTGGCCGCCGCTGGGTTTGAACCCACCAACTCTGGCATAGGGAGCCAGTGCCCTACTCCTTTGAGCCACAGGCGCCGCTCCTCTCTCAACTTTAAAAGCAGAGGACTGCATGGAACGTGATGTTATTTTTGTTTGTGTGTTTTCTGTTGTAGACCCCAGTGTCAGCCGCTACCATGTGCAGTGGTTTCCACAAGTGTGTGCTCACAACAGAACGGCCGGATCAGAGACCCCCTCTGGCGTGACCCACGTAAGTGGTGCCTTCCAGACTGACCTGATGTGTGTCTATGACTAGACAGACAGATGTGTAAAGCAGATATGCAAACCAGATTTGTCAGATGCATAAACCCCTCTCACAAATTAGCTGTTGAGGAATGACTCAACCAAAATGACAAAACCTAATGGTCCTTCCATCGACCTATTTTTGTCTATTCACACCATCACGTGGAGAACTTATTCTGTTGGCAACGCAGGGCAAGTCTTAAAATTTCAATTCACCATGATGCTGTCACCAGTACCTCTCTTTTCCACGTCCTTAACTGCCACCGACTTCACCAGTTAATGTGTGATGATGCTACTTGTCCGCCTGTCCTGCATACCAAGGGTCTATATTTCAGTGTCTCACTTTAAGAGACCATTACATTCATTCGAGGTAGCAACGTGGTCAGTGCTACTCAGAATATCATTCCAAATAATTTGGGATTAACACACGAGTTATCTGTAGAAGATTAAGGTCAGCAAGGCAACATAAAATGTTTAAGAGTCCACTGCATTGGGTGTTGATGACAGTAATTTATATGCCATAAATCAGGACAGTTTAAAATATTCAAAAACATGCCCCAAGTGTACGCTAGTATGGCTCGGGATATATAACCAGAATGTTTTTCTTTTGACCATTTCCTAATCTAAAGCAACAGTACACTCTTGTCAGGATCCCGTATGATCACATGCCTTTAAGATAGAGGAAAACAAATCCCTGGATTTGCAGACATTACCAGCTTCCTCCCCCCCCCTTTTTTTTTTGCTGTACTTGACTTGTCTCAGCCAGTTCACCAAAGTTCCTCCTGAACTAATTTCTTTATCTTGAGATGAGTCCCAGAGTTTCTGACCTGCAGTCAAATTTAAACAGATATTCTAAATAAGGAAATCTATTTAGAATGCAGAAAAAGAAAGAAACAGAAGCCGGGTTTACTAAAATTTTTGTGGGCAGGGGGTGAGGCTCTCCCTTGTTTTAGTAACATGTGTCTCTGTAACCCTGCGGAATCTGGCTCATGAACCTGTGCCCATCCAGCCCTGACGTTACCGTCTCAGGGACTCTGAAAGGGACAGTAGCCATTCACTGAGCATAAATAATGTATCTGGTAGAAATAACCATCAACGTCTCCCAAAAGCATGTTGCTAAAGGCTTAGAACTTGTCTGTTTTCATTTTTAATTGACCTTTAGGCCGAATTAATTTGCTTTCCTAGTACCAGAGCATAATCTAATTTGCTTGCTACGGCCGATAGCCACCGTCTGCCTTCTGAGCCACATGAAAGCATTCCCAGAATACCTGGGAAGCAGGGCCCTTAATGGCCAACCTGGATTCCAGTGGAGTGCCACACGATGTCCAGACTCACTGCTGAGGGAAAGCCATTCAGCCTCCCAAAGAGATGCAGTAGGCTGGGCTGTCTGATTGACGGCCACACCCTGACATTCTGCCCCACCTGCTCTGAACCTCCCCAGCAACAGCTCTGCCTCTAACTCAGGCACCCAGGAAGTACATGAACTTCTGTCCAGTTTTAATTCATTTTTTTAAACTGAGACAGAGTCTGACCTTGTTGCCTAAGGCTAGAGTGCCTAGTGTTAGCCTAGCTCACAGTAGCCTCCGACTCTTGGGTTCCAGTGATCCTCCTGCCTCAGCCTCCCTGAGCCCTAGGATCACAGGTATGCTCCATGATGCCTGCTGGTTTTCCTATTTTTAGTAGAGACAAAGTCTCACTCTTGCTCAGGCTGGTCTTGAACTCCTGAGCTCAACCGATCCACGGGTCCAGTCTCCCAGAGTGCTGGGATTACAGGCATGAGCTGCTATGCCAGGGTTTTATTTTATTTATTTACTTGTTTATTTATTTATTGGAGATAGGGTCTCAAGCTGTTGCCCTGGGTAGAATGCTGTGACATCATAGCCACCTCCAACTTGGGCTCAAGCGATCCTCTTGCCTCAGTTTTTCTATTTTTAGTAGAGACAGGGTCTTGCTTTTTTGCTCAGGCTGGTCTTGAACTCCTGGGCTCAAGCAATCCACCTGCCTCGGCCTGCCACAGTGCTGGGATTACAGGCGTGAGCCACTGCACCCGGCCCAGGCTTTTATTTTAATTCTTGCCCCATGTTTTCGCCCTCAGCCCTGCTGCTGTCTGGCAGGAATGCCCAGACTTTGCCCAGAAGCCACGGGACAGAGACTCTGCATCTGGGCCTCATATACACACCTGCTAGGATGTCCTAAATACACAGAGAACAGATGCGTGGAACCCTGCCAAATATAAAAGAGACAAAGTCTCAAACTTGCCATCATAGAACATGTCAAATCTCCACATTAAAGTATATTCTAAGCCTGGACTACTTAGCCGTTTAACCTGCTTCTTTTAGTTATGTTTAATCACGTTATGCCAGAGAGCAATGATAGCATTGCCCAAAAAGGAAAAGATACATTGCTAAAAAATAACATCCTTTCAAACAGGAAAACTACCTTATTTCTGTGTCTCAGAAAAGCCTGAATCGGGGTTCTTTCTTAAAAATTTTAAGTAAAAAAAGTAAATGAGATTTGTGTTCACAGCCTCCCATGTCCCACCTGCACTGCTGCTCTCAGACGCGCAGGCTGGAAACTGGAGCAGTCGGCTGCTTTGATGTGGAATTGCCCCAGCACGGTTTAATTCCGAGGGTCTGTCCCACAGCCACAGGAGCAGTTAACAATTGTCATTAATCAAAGCGCAGACACTGTCTCCTTTGTACTTTTCATAAAAGCCATATTGCACACACCGCAAACATAGGAAAAGGTCCTTGTTGAAATATGATTTCAAGTCCTGCCAATGTTTTCTCTAATCCCTGATGAGATTTATTGCCGGCATGTTCTCTTTCCCTTGCTCTAGGAGAATTATATAATTCTTCAAGATCTGTCATTTTCCTGCAAATATAAGGTGACTGTCCAACCCATACGGCCAAAGGGTCACTCGAAGGCAGAATCTGTTTTCTTCAGCACTCCGCCATGCTCTGCCCTGAAGGGGAAAAGCCTTGCGCATGTCAGTTGCCCTGGAGAAGCAGGTGCGTCTCTTCCCGCTGGAGGTCCAGGTCCAGGCTGCCAGCACTGCTTTGAAAACATTCCCAAGACACATTCCCTAAAAGCTGAAAGGGCCCCCCTTTTTGAGTGGTAACTTGATGGTCCAGTTTGGACTGAATAGATGCAGGAATATTTGTATTATTTTGTAATCCTGACATCACTGGAAAGGCACCCTTTGTGGACCATGTCAGGCCTTTAGAAATGAAGGCCAGCATTTAGATACTACTTGTGTTTAATTATTTCACTTTTATCCTGCCCCTTTGATGTGCCTGGGTCACCACAAAGGCAGTTGTGTCACGGTCCATCATTTCAGTTCAAGAAACACAGTCAACAGCATCCTTTTGGATTCATCCACGCAAAAGTTCAACTTGCTTGGCTCCTCCATGTTGCTGGGAGGGCATCATTCATTTCCATCCACACAGGCTTTACATTTCTTGATTTTTGCATCTCTAGACTTCCAGTATGTGTCACCAACACATACTTCCTACATGGACCTTCTAAACCTCAGGCCTCTATGTTCCATGACCTTCTCTTTGCCAAAGCCCCTTTCATATAGTGACAATAGCTGTCCAGGGCTCTTTAAATGCCTGAAAGAACTTTTTTAGTGGCACCAAGTTATAGAGATGAGGTTCCTAGTCCACGCACCCCGATCTGTCAGAGGGGTGATGGTGTGAGCCAGGCTCAGTGGACTGGGTCAGCTGGCTGCCTCCTTCCCACAGAATGGAGGACCCCCTGAGATTCCTGCAATGACTGTGAAATCCACCCCACATTCACGCTTTCTCCCGTAGGCTACTAACCGGGGTCTTCATTTCTGCATTGCTGCAGGTCACGCTCTTTCCAAAGTGCTAGCCAAGCCGGAGAACCTCTCTGCTTCATTCATTGTCCAGGACCTCAACATCACAGGCTACTTTTCTTGGAAGATGGCTAAGGCCAATCTCTACCAGCCCATGACGGGATTCCAAGTGACTTGGGCTGAGGTCACCACCGAGAGCAGGCAGAATAGTCTGCCCAACAGTATCATCTCACAGTCACAAATCCTGCCCTTGGTAGGTGCCACCGGGGGGGCCCTGTGGGGTCACTGTCCGTTGCCTGCCTCCAGTCGCCCCCAGACAGAGCTCTGTCCTGCTGCGGGCTGTGCTGTTGACCACGCAGACTGCTTTCCACCTGTTCTTCTGAGAGCGTCTTTTATAAACATTAGCATGTCCCAAGTGTTGTGAATAGTTATGAAGGGGCGTGAGCCGTCATCGTCATACATTGTGATGATGGGAGCTCGCTCTGGAATGGTGTTATCCTTCTGTGTCAATTCCATGCACGTGATGGAGCCACTGTCCTCTACTTTGTTAACTCTCTGTCCCCCCAGGTCCATGCCCTGTTAGAAGTGTCGAACTGGGCAGGGGGAATAGCTACAATGAAGCTTGTTATTCAGCTTTCTTTTCTCTCTTTAAATTTGGCTGGAGCCTGTAATGAGCTGGCCTGTCTTCCAGGCCACTTAATTTCTTGGCTTAAAAAAATAAATAAAGTACAGATTTTTACGCTCTCTGAAAATGCCCTTGTAATAACCAAACCTTGCTACAAAATCCAGCAAGGAAAAAAATGTGTGTGTATATATATATGACTTAAATCCCAGAAGGAAAAATTCCATGGCATTAGAGAGCAGTTATTCTGTGAATGTACTAGGTTTTTATTGAGTTTTGAGAAGAGTGTGTTGGCATAAAAATAAACATGTTCACTTATGGGCAGTGACAGATACTGTGCTTGAAGAAAAACAGTTGGCTCATTCACTGAGATTTGGACTATCAAGAATTCACATCACAAGATGTGCAGCTGAAAACTTTAAACCCTGGGAAAGTCTTATGTTCAGGACTCAAAAATAAATCAAATCCCAGGAGCGAGCCCTGAGAACTGGCCCCTTGGCACATTCTAACTCTGCCAAGTGTCCTGGGCTGCCAAGAATTGAGTGAGGTGCTAAGAACCACAGGGCAGAGAACACCCGCAAATGGGGGGGAATATTGTGCCAGGTAGAGTGTGGCTTTAAAGAACAGCCCAACCTGCCGGGGTGCCGCTTTCTGGAATGGGGGAAGGCGTCGCTGTAACAGTGTGTACGTTGTCGTGTGGTCTCTGAGACGTCACTAACAAGCCCCTTATTTGATGTCATGCCTTAGGATCATCATGTCCTAACAGTGCCCAACCTGAGACCGTCCACACTCTATCGCCTGGAAGTCCAAGTGCTGACCGCAGGTGGGGAAGGGCCGGCCACCATCAAGACGTTCCGGACACCTGCCCTCCCACCCTCAGCAGTACACCGTAAGCGGGGGTGAAGGTGGCCTGGTGGGTCTTGGGGACAGAGAGAAAAGTCTCACTCATAAATGAAGATAAACAGAGACATGGGTACAGGCTTCTAAGATACAGGCACTGTCCTCATGTGAAATGCTCACTCGCCTGTGTGTCCACGCATTTCATTTGGTTCCAGCTACCTTGAGTGTGTGTGGCTGCTGTGGGTCTGTGTCTCCCTTTTCTCTCTTCTCTCTCTCCCCCCTCTCTCTTCTCTCTCTCTGTCTCTCCTCCCTTCCTTTCTCTCCCCACCCTCTCTCCATTCCTCCCTCCTCTTCTCATCTCCTTCCTCGCATTTTTTCCCTTGTCTTTTAGTTACATAAATACATGTGAAAAAATGTTTAGTCTCCTAGCGATCTGAAATGTTTTTAAATTAAGAGTTTCTATGACAACGGTATAGGAAATAATGTTTGCTCAGGAACTTATTTTCTTGTGACATAGATGTTGCTGTAATATAGGGCATAAATTTTCTTCATGATATGACTCAAATCCATCCACTTTTTTTTTTTCTTTTTTTGCAGTTTTGGCTGAGGCCGGGTTTGAACCCACCACCTCCCGTATATGGGGCCCGCACCCTACTCCTTTGAGCCACAGGCCCTGCCCCCCCATCTACTTGGTTTTTTGCCAAATCAAGTAAAATTTAGAAAAAGAAAATTGTCACCTGTTCTTTTAAAACAAGTAGTCTCTTGATGATTTTTAAGTTACACATTTTGTTTACTTATTCTCTAGCTTAAATTTAAAAAGTGCGGTTAAAGACTTGGGTGTTATAATAAGAAAACTGAGATTTAATCATAGTTCTAACTTAGTTTTTTTTTTTTTAAATGAAGGATAAAATTGCCACAAAAAACTTGTTATGGTTATAATTTGAAGAAATACAAAAACTGTCCCAGTGGGAAAGCTTAATACTTCTTAAAAGTCCACAAAGGTGGGATAAAATGCTTTTCTCATACTTCTTTATTGAAATTGGGCATAATAAAAATATTTGTTAATTTTTTTTTTTTTTTTGAGACAGACTCTCACTCTGGTGTCCTGAATAGAGAGCTGTGGTATCATAACTCACAGTACCCTCAAGCTTTTGGGCTCAAGAGATCCTCTTGCCTCAGTTTTTCTATTTTAAGTACAGATGGGGTCTCGCTCTTACTCAGGCTGGTCTCAAAGTCCTGAGCTCAAGCTGTCCACCTGCCTCAGCCTTCCAGAGTGCTAGGATTATAGGTGTGAGCTACTGAGCCCAGCTTTTGTTAATTTTTAAAACTTTTTTGAGAAAATAAAAAAGGATCATCAAGTTTACTTAACCAAGTACAAGCTTCTGAGAAGGAGCTTGTCTTCTTTATCTTGTTGTTTTATGGGTCAGGGCAGGGATCAGTGCTGGGAGAAGAGAAACAGTGGTCAAGGAGAGGCAGAGAGTGAAGGAACGCACGGGTGTGTGCACGGTCGGGTCCAGAAGTGGAGAGACACGGTCTTAGGAGGGGACGTGCCTGCATCCGATGCTTTCAGTACAATCACACGTGTCTCTACCCTTCACTCAAGGTGTGTACAGCTATGTCACTAATACATGGTGTCACTTTTTAGGACCCCACCTTAAGCATCACCATCCACATCATTACAAGCCTTCTCCAGAAAGATACTGAACTGGTCTAGAAGATTTTGAAACGTTGCATCGAGGGTGAGCTTGCTGAGCTCCGGCCACCAGATGCGGCACTCCCAGAAGCAGCACGGACCCGGCAGAGGCCCCACTCGCTCCTGCCCCTTTAGTGCAGTAAGTTCTTTTATCAGTCACAGACACATCTGGAAACAAGTAACAGATAATCACCCGGTGACTACGGACACCAATCCCCATGAGGATGAAGGAAATGAAGAATAGGCCTATTTGAGTTTAAAGTCTGTTTCCATGTACGGCTCTGCTCATCTCTATTGAGTTATTGTGGAACTGAAACGTCCCTGATTTTGGAGCAGCTGATTCTAAAACAGGAAAGTAGTATAATAATAGAGATTCGTGCATGCATTGAGCATAAATTTGCTCAATAAAATATATTTTGGATTTGGTTATTTATTTGGTTTGAAAGAGGAGCTAAGAGTATACAGCGCTATGTATCCAAATCTTTTATAAGATCTTTTTTTTTTTATCATGGGTGATTTTTTAATGGAGCATTTCTAACCTAAAATCTACCGATGAATTCAAATCTGAAAATGCTCCCGTTGTAAGCCTGCTATGCTACTTTTTATAAAAGGTAAAGTAAATAAAAGTCTGTTCTATAAATTGTGATTTACAAAAGATAGTCAAGCCGATGGAAGGTGAGGAATTGAGCTGCTAACCAGAGTTTGCCTTGGAGAAGTGAAGGTTTTTTCTGGCGACACTTTTTAATATTTCATCCTGTAATAGGAAAGACTTTCTTGATAGGTTACCTTATTTATATTTTCCCTTATTTTCTTCGATTCAGAATAGCCCCTTTTGGTGCAATTTTTTTTCTTTTAACCACCTGAAATTTATAAAACCTGTTTCTTCAAGTGGGAGCACCCCAACTACTGAGCATTTTTCTAATCTTTATGGATATTTGTTTTACTTAATCAAACTAAGCTAACTGGATGCTAAAATATTTTCAGTAATGCACAGAAAAGGGCTTTGATTGATAAGAAGGGCAACCGTTTGCCTTTAACCTATACTCTTTGGGCTCTACGAAATCTTCTTGTTTGGAAGACAACGCTGCCTCTTGGAGCACAAACTTATAGTCAAAGATGTTATCAATACCTAGCGTTGCCGTGTCCATTGAAGCGATGATAGTACAGAGATGTTGTCTTTTCCCCTGAAGGAATATTCACATACATGGTTTGAAATATCCGTAGACATGTGTCTTTGTAGTTATAAATGTCCATATATATACAAATACATATACGAGTATACACACACAGACACATGCCTATATGTGAATGTACCACAAGTATGAATTACTAAAGAAATTGTTTTCATAGCTCACCAATGGTGGATAAAGATATAGTTCTTGTAAAGTTCCATGAGGATAATATATTTTCCCCGTCCATGCTGCTTTTATGAGAAAAGAATAACTTATCAAACTTATACACAATGAAAGAAAGCCTCCCTAGCTAATTTCATTAGCTACCCAGTTATAATGGAAAGAAAATCAGTGACGTTCTTCTTAGATTTTGGTGGTGGGACTTGCTTCCTCCTTGTGGTGTCATTTTCTGAGTGTGCACAGACACCTGACCGTTCCTAGCCATAGTGGGAAACGTGGAACTCATTGAGCCCCCGAGACTTCCTGGCAGTTGTTAAAGCCAGGTACAGAATGAAGCTGGGGAAGCTGTTTTTATGATGCTGATGTGTATCTTTGGGCAACGCCAATTATAAATATAGATGCCTGGTCATAGATCATGAGACCCGTTTCCTGTGTGTTCAGAGATTTTAAAAGTAAATAATGCAAGGATGTTGCTTTCTAGAAGTGACATAAATTACAAGTGTCAGAATGAAAGTTTTGGTTGGTTCTGGGTGTTTCTGCAGCCCGTCATAGGCTGGAAGGCACAATATGTTGGGCAGTCACCTGGTTCTGAGAATTTGGAACAGGGAGAACAGGAAACAGCCTTTCTTTAGAAACAGTGCTGAACTTCACAGACTGGCACCGCAGCCCCCGTCCCTGCAG